AGAAGCCAAAGGAAGAAATTATTGAGGAGGAAATGGTGAAGCGTAAAGGGAAAACTGCTAAGAAAAACGAAAAATCGATCGAGAAATTGGAGACGGGAAGCACAGTGGGTTTGGAAAAAGATTCTGAGCATGGATTTGTTGACATAAGCATTATCAGTGCGATTTCAGATTCAATCCAAGCTTTAGTTCAGTTAACAAAGAGGACTGAGAAGCGAAAGGATGAAACTGTTGACGGAAAGAATCTTTCTGCAGCAGAATCTTGGTATGCAATAAATGAAAGCGGACCGGAAACGGAATTTGATGTACATTTGCCTGCTATGAATGCTTTTCTATGTAATGATGCAACAGTTTCACTGTGTGTTGAGAAACCTGCGGAAAATGGCTTTGTGGATGCAATACCCACATCGGCCGGTTTCTGTTGTTGTAGCCTCTCGGTTTATCTCCCTGAATTACGGAAAACTGCAAGAGGTATGAAGGAAAAAATGGAAAGACCAGCAGAGTTGAGTATGATAAGAGGAAAGCATTCGGAAGAAATTCCCGTTGAGACGGTTTCTATTAGCTTCGAATTCACAAAACAGAGGACTCAAAAAATTGGTGTTGGAACTATTTTTAATTCTGAACGTCCAACGGAACAAATTGAACTTGCTGAAGAAATAATCCGGCCAAGCCCGCATAACGAAGCTGTTAAGCTGTTACCGCTTCGTGAAAAGTGCTCTGCATGCTTGTCATTTTGTATTGGTAAGAAAACTAAAAACGAAGATACTGTTGATATCGATGTGACAGTAATACCTGAAACAGAGAGGGAACGATCGAAGGAGCGTTCAAGATCTGGTTAGTTATTGTGAAAGATTTGATTATTTACAATAGTTAGTAGTTAAAATGCTATACTTCTCTAGCATCAAATGGATTATTTGATCCACTTTTTATATTGGATCTCTTCTTTCCTATGATAGTAATTTTCCGCAAACTATTCGATATGAAGTAGTTGGTTTCGAAAATTTCGAGTATTATCCAAGTATAATCCTTTTGCAGTAATAGCTGACATTGAAGTGGATGCTGGTGAGGAAATGGCGACGACAGATGCAATTGTGGATGTATTGACAAGCTTCGAAGAAAGTGAACTAGCTATAACTGAATTTTTATCCGATATTCTTGATGTTGACGTTACTTTAGATGCTTTGATGGAGGAAGAGTTCATTGAAGCCATTGGTCCTGCCTTCCATAGCCAGGTATGTATCACGATTAGTGGATTATAGATAGTAAAATACAAAATAGTTTTTTTTTCTTCGATGTCTTGCTAATGTTCACCTTCAGTATACTTTTTATGAATTAAGAAGTTAATTCAAACACGCGTAATAAAAATCTTCCATGCACTTTTGAAAAAAATGTTCCAATGATGAAACGTATTATTGTTTTTATTCTGCCGCTGATTACAAATAAGCTTATGATTTCCACTTCTACACACTGAACTTCAGTTCTCTAAAACACTTTGAGAAGTGGAATTAAAAGTTATATCACGACTTGCAATATTACAATTTTCCATCTATCAGCTGCAATGTGAAAATGGTCAAGTCTCGATCTAATCTGTCATTTTAGCTTGCTTCGTTGGTGGTTCAAATGCCAACCGTAGTTACTGCCATTTCGCAGCTCATTGAAGAAGTTAAACTACTTGCCGCAAATGCAGAAACTGAGATTCTGATGCCTGTAGCAAACAAGACTGAAATGCAGCAGCTCACTCTTACACTGCAGAAGGCTGACTACGAATCACACGAAAATTTCAGTACGTAATCCATAAGTTTTTGAATTCTATGTTATCCGTCATTTCGTCAATGAAGCACGTCGCAACTGTATACGAAAAAAATCCTATTTCTCTTCATTCATCTCTTGGTTAAACTTTTCAGGATAGTTAGACTTTAGCAAATCAAAATGCCTTGATTAGGCTTCCAGAGAAAATATTCCTTTACGAAGATATCCTTCGCAGTGCTTACTCTCTAATATTATTACACTAAAATACGATTAGTTGTGTTTTGTAAAGGATCTATTTTAATAATAATATAGATTCATTTAACTCTCTCTACATTTCACTTCTGATAAAAATCAATGAAGTACGTTTCTAAATATTAAAGCATATAAATTTCTATCACAGATGAACTTCAGAATTTGGAAAAATCAGAAAGAAAATATGCAACAGTTCTTCTTACTTATATTTGCATAGCGAACTGCTCTAAATTCATAGTTAATTTTGAAAAAAAGAAGCAAGTACACGCAGCAATTTATAATGTAATTTTTTGATAATCCTTGACAATGCGACTGGAAGATCAACTTATTGCCTTATACAAATCATGAATGACCAACAACGATAACTGAGGTAGCCATCGTTAAAAAGAGTATTATAAACGAATAATACATTACAACAGTTTTGAAATATCTCACCTTCATTTCGTATTTTCTTATATATTGTGTGACCTACAGGTGCTTTAAATTCAGATAGTGAATTGTATGCTTATAACTGGAAGTTCCTAACTATATCTAACGTCTCTGAAGGTTTTATTAATGAATCTGACCAGATACCTTCAATATCTTAATAGATATACAAAACAAGCTGTTCATTGAATTTAAGCTATTTAACGGTCTACTTCCAAGAGTAAAAATCGTCACATATTTTATGCCAGCTAATATGAATCCATTTCAGAAAATGACGAGAAACTGAAAGATGTGGGAAAAGAATCGCAAGACATTGACGAGGTCACACATTCTTCTCTTATATTTTATTATCTTGCAACTTTTTCCAAATTTCCATCCAATTTTGCAACAGTTTCATTCACTTACAAAGTAAATAATAAATTTCACTTTATAGGAAAAGAAAGAAAAGCCAAAAGTAGAAGTGGAGAAGAGAAAAAAGAAAGTACCAAAAGCACTTGTCATTCCTGCAGAAATAAGCACTAAATATGGCGACAAGAGTACGCTTCTATCCGAGACAACTATGACAACAGAAATTGCGATGAATGAAGTGATGGCAGAAGTTGAAATATCACCGAAGAAATCTCTCTCTGCGTCTGTTGCAATGAAAGTGGATTCAGCGAAGCGTCGTAAATCCGTCAGTCATCGATCATCTTCCGCAGAAAAATTCACATTCAAGGATATCGAAGAAGGAACGGAATTGAAAATAGCTGAAGAAAACGTGAGGAAAACAAAAAAGCGGACCGGTTTACCACCGGTTCCCAAAACAAAAGAAGAAATAGAAGTGGAGTTAATTTTTGGACAAAAGGAATACCGGGAAAACATCGAGGATATTTTCCCTGTTAAACTTGTTGAAGAACTTGTAAATATTGTGCAAGTAACAGCAAAGAGTCGGAAGAGAAAGATAGAAAGAGCAGGGAAGGATTTGGAGGAACAGAAGCAGGGGAAAAAATCGATAGATGAATTGGGAAAAATTGAAACTGTTAAATTGACACCAATTACCAAAGAAATTGAAAAGCAAGAAACTTACGAACGTGCTCGGAAGAAACGTATTGGATTCATTCAGGCGCCCGATAAGGAAGTTATTGCATTCCGCGGTGATACCATCAAAATTGAGTGCGAATTGTTGAATGAAGATGATTTCATGTGGCTTATCAATGATAAACCTGCAAGTGAAGATTTGAGATGCATTGAGGAGGTTAATTCATTGATAAGAACACTAACGATAAGAAATATCGTACCAGAAGATGAAGAAACGATAATTGTTGCAAAAGTAGGAGATATTGTTGCTGAAACAATCATCCATGTGGAAGATACACCAGCGGAGATTATTGAGCCTTTGCCACGTCGTAGTTTCGGCAAATGCGGTGAGAATGTGACACTTGCTGTGTCTGTTACCCATCCAGCACATTCTATTGTTTGGGAATTCAACGGAGAGAAATTACCGCAAGATGATGGAAATTATATGATTGCTGAAGAAGGCAATATTTATACATTAACCATCAAAGATGCTACGTATAATGATGCTGGACGTTATTCTATTAAGGTGGATTCGTTAGAAACATCTACAACGTTAGTAATGCAAGGAGCACCTATTATTGAGAAACCGGAACCGGAAAGTATTAATTTCGAGACTCATGAAAATCTTCTTCTTAGTATTCCTTATAAAGCAGTACCGGAACCAACAATTGACTGCTTCTTTAACAATGAGCCATTGCTAGTTGGAACAAAATTAAAACTTGAAATTATCAATGATATGGTTCAATTCTGCAAACGGAAAATTAATAAAAATGATTCTGGTGAATATACTTTTAAGATTAGCAATGAATTTGGCGAAGCTGTCAAAACTTTCACTGTTAATGTTAAAGGTAAAGTTAATCGTTACTATATAGAGTTTCTTAACAAATATATTTAAGGCTTTATTTCTAAAATGTTTTCAGCTCCATTTCCTACATTTTTTCAGGATTTGAATAAAGATTGAATAAATTTAGTCAGGAAATATGAAACGATGTAGATGAAAATGAAAAATTTTAAACACAACTGAAACAGTTCTGTGGGTTTGCATATTATGAGTATTTATTTATAGGAATATCCGGTGTTCCTGAAAATCCACGAATTATGGATATTTCGCTTGACAGAGTAAGTGTAGAATGGGATGCCCCAAAAGATGATGGTGGTAGCAAAATTATCGGTTATATCATTCAGAAAAAAGAAATTGGTCGCCGAACATTCCATCATGTTATTCAGGTAAATTCGTTCCGATATATGCAAATGGACAGAATCAAACTTGTTGTGAACATCTTTGTAACTACTTTCCATTTCAATTCTTGGAGCCCGTTGAACAATAAATGTTGCTTTTTTTAGCTTTAATAGTTCCATATTTTACCGTTTCATTTATAGGTGACAGGTGACAAAACGAACTATCTGATTGAAGAGCTTGATGCGGATACCGATTACATCTTCCGTGTTGCTGCTATTAACAAGTATGGTACTGGTGAATTCGCTGAATTCCCTCTTGCACATACTAGTGCGGCACCAGAAGAACTAGAAGAAATACCAGAACAGGAAAAGGAGCTAGAGAAAATTTCGGAAAGAGTGGATGAAGATCAAGAATTAGCTGAACTAAAAAAGGCAAAGGCTAAGAAACTTCTGAAGAAAGATGGATCGAAAAAGGCTGAACAACTTGAAGAGGAAATGGAGCAAGCAATTGATAAAGAAATAGCTGTAGGGGAAGATATTTCGCAGGCAAAACCAGCCACAGAAAGGAAGGTAGAAATGACGGATTTGAAGGAATGTGTTGAAACCGTCAAAGATCTCGAACAGCATGACGTTGAACTCAAAGTAGGAAAAGCGGAGAAGGAGGAATTGGCTAGAGTTACAAGACCTGAGGAAGAAATAAGGGATGAAGTTGTTGCAATGGATAAGACTAAGGTCGAAAAGTCGGATACTGTTGAAGCTGAGGAACGAAAGCTGAAGAAAACGAAAAGAAAGAAGCCTAAAAAAGAAGAGAAATCTTCTGAGGAAATGATTCCGACAGTACAAAAGAAATCCGTCGATCTTGTTGAAGACAACATGAACAAGGTTTTAGAGGTAGAGATCATTGAAGGAAATGAGCTTAAGGAAAAATTCGATGAAGAATTTTCACAAGAAGAAAAGAAGCATGTAGAAATAGCCACAGAATCGGAGATAAAAGAGACCTTTGAAATAAAGGATGAAAAGGAAGAAGAAATTGATGTTAGTGACATTTCTGATACTGTAATAGTTGATAAAAAAACGGAAAAAGTTGCATTGGAAAAGAAACCAACAGCTAAGAAAAGGGAAGAAATTAAAAAGAAAAAATCGAGCAAAGGAAAAAGCCAAAAAACTACTGCTAAAAAGGCTGAAGAGCCAACGGTAGTCGTTGGGGTCACAGATGAAAGCTTTGATGTACAGTTTCAGAAACAAGACATTATTGTAGAAGACATGACAACATCTGAGAAGGTCAAGATCGAAGCGGAAAAAGAAGAAATCAAAAAAGATCATCTTGAAGACGGCTATGTGGAAGACAGGTCAAAAGTCAAGAAAAAAAGGAACAGCATGAGATTGAAGTGTTTTTCAAAAATACTTCAAACGTCGCAAATGTTGACAAAATTATTTCAATTTTGGGAAGTAAAGATGCAACTTCCGCTAGTGTGAAAGCGGATTCGAAGAAGAAATCAAAAACGTCAAAAAGACTGATAAAGGAGAAGTTAGAGGAAATTGTGGGAACAAAGGAGGAAAAGTTTGAGGCTGAAAAATTAGAAGCAAAGTTGGAGATAGATGACAAGGTTGGAAAACCGGAACACGGAGAAGTGAAAGACGAAGGAGACGTATTGAAACGGTTAGACTCGGGACAAGAAGTTAAGGAAGCAAAGGCTGTGGAAGATAAAGAAGCAAAACCTAAAAAGAAGGTTACCGGGAAAAAGATCGCTAAGAAAGCATTGCAGAAACCCAAAGTGGAAGAAGAAATAGGAAAAAAGAGTAGAGATGAGGCCCGAGAGGAGAAGCATATTGAAGAGAAAAAAGTGAACAGGTTCAAAGATGAAGAAGTGGAAGAATTGAAAAGCAGTGCTGATATTGATGTTACCATTAACATACCAGCAGTTCTGATAAATGAAGAACCGGGACCGGAAGAAACTATCGAGATGACATCAGTGTTACGCAAGGATGAGACTCCAATCACACGACGAGTGCATAAACGTCCGAGTGGATTCGTTCTACTCCCAGACCAGGAAATTCTGGCGTTTCGAAATGATACGGTTAAAATTGAGTGTGAAGTTTTTAATGAAGAAGATAAGATTAACTGGATGATTAACGGAAAACTAGTTACGGATGATATACGATGTACGGAAGTTGAGGATGGATATCTGAGAATTTTGCAAATTGAAAATGTAGTTCCAGAAGATACGGGTATGATCATTACAGCTAACCTCCATGAACATTCTGCAGAAAGTCGTTTAATTGTTGAGGATATACCTGTGGAAATCACTGAAAAATTACCGCATAAAATTACTGGTAAAATGGATGATTTCATAAAATTATCAATAACTGTATCACATCCAACTGAAAATTGCCAGTGGTTCTTTAATAACGAACAATTAATCAAAAATAACGATCATTACGAAGTAAATGTTGAAGGCAATGTTTATAGTTTGCTGATAAAGAATTTAAGTTACGATCAAGCAGGTCGTTATTCAGTGAAAGTAGAATCTGCAGAAACATCGACTATCCTTACCGTTGAAGGAGCACCGATACTACATGAAACCGAAACGATTGTAACAACGGTTGACCTAGAATCACAAGATAATTTAATACTTACGATACCGTTTAAAGCAATACCGGAACCAACTCTGGAATGTTTTCTTAATAATGAAAAGATTCCGAGCAGTTCAAAGATACAGCTAGATATTTTCAACGATAAAGCATGCTTCCGGAAACGTAAAGTGGACAAAAGTGATACCGGCGAGTACACGATCAAAATTAAAAATGATTTTGGCGAAGTCTCACAAACATTTTCTGTCAATGTCAAAGGTTACTTTTTATCCTTTCCAGATCAAAAACCAAATTAATTGTCACTTTGAATTTCTTATCTGCCTTAAAAAAATGTACTTTAGGGATGGATAAGTCAGTTAGTGTCATAATGGTACAAATGTGAAGAGCCTTTTCATTAATTATCAAAAAACTCCTTCTTTTTTTTTTTCATCAATTCCTTTTCAAAAATCCCTTTTTTGCATTAATTAATTTTTACCATTACTTAACTAATTAAAATGCCAACGGATACGTTTGATGTGCCTCATTAGCAAAAAAATGAAAAATGAACTACCTTTAAATTTTGCAAACTCTTCCTATTTTTCCAAAATCCTTTTTTAACTTATGACTTCATATTTATCCAAACATTTTAACTGTCACTGATTTATTACCTGTCAATATTGAACTTTTTTACTGTCTCTGCTTCAGTTTTATTAGATATTCATTATTACTTACCCGTTTTCCTTTTGACCTGTATCATATTACTTAAATAGTATATTGTTGAGTATATCTTGATATTAAATTAAAAAAAAATATCAGAATCCCAGTTAGGCCTATACTCAATGTCCTTACATACGACGGAGTTTCAAAGAGAGAAGAGCCTTTTAAGAATATTCCTTTTCACCACTACTTAACCAATTTGCAACTATTTTTTATGTTTGTGTTTTATGGTAGTTTAATTAGTGAGAACTGAATTTAAAATTGAGTTCCACTAATTCGACGATCAGCAATTAATTGTTCACCAACATGAGCATGTCCTCATGGTTCCAAAGGAAAATTCATTATCTTATAACCTTCCATATCTTGCAGATGAAGTGATGTTTATATATGATTGCAGATGTACCGGGACTTCCCGAAAACGGGCATATCACAGATATTGGCAGTTGCTGTGCGACGATTCATTGGAACGCTCCAAGTGATGATGGTGGCAGTGCGATTACAGGTTACATTGTCGAGAAAAGGGAAGAATCGAGAAGGACTTATCATCGCGTTGCTCAGGTTTGGTTGGCTTTACTACCATTGAAATCAGTTCGATATCTATCATCGGAATTAGTGATGAGAGTTTAGGTATCGAGTGAAGAAATGGATTATTATGTTGATGACCTGAAGATAAATACATCATATATGATTCGAATAGCAGCCATGAACAAGTACGGCATTGGTGAATATTTGGAATGTGCTTCATTTCGAACATGTCTGCCATTCAAAGCACCATCTGTGACACATCCGCCAGTCATTACGAATGTCACCGATCAGGTGAGTGACATTTGCTTTTCAAGTTAATATTTTTTGTAGTGCTAGGCATCTTTCCATAGTATGTTACCAAGAAATCTTTGTGCTTGCTATCTTCTCATTTTTCTCTACATTTCATAAAAATTGTACACTCATAAGTTATCATTACTTCATTGTATAAAATAAACATTGATTGATCACAATTTATCGTTATTGATTTATTCCCTTAATTTATTGAAGTTGATTTTGTTAGACGATTGGTATGTCAACAGAGCGCATTTGGTTTTAAAAAATCATTGCCTTTTCCAGACCGTTGCAGTATAACTGATGATGATTCTGTCATATTTAGCTAGCAGATTTTCTTTGTTTTTTTAAGAGTTGTACGCTGAAATGGCCAAGAGTAACAGAGGATGGTGGTTCGCCAATTTATGGATATGATTTATTCATACGAGAAAATAAAAGTGATTGGATGAAAGTCAACGATGAACTGATATTCACTGAACAATTCACTGTGTCTAATATTGAAGCTGGACTAACCTATGAATTTAAAGTAGAAGCAACAAATGAAGCAGGTCTTACATCAAAATCTGATGTGATATCAGAACCGTTGATAATTTCCAAAGCAGGTGAATATCTATTACCGGTTTTTTTTTCCACTCTTTTCTAGTAGTTTCATAAACACGCTAAGATTTCAGAAATTTCTGCGTTATCTTCATTTAACGCTTCGTAAATCTCTAAAAAATTGACTCTTTCTGCGATGGCTTGTGTACTTGGTAATCCATACTTCATTTTAGATATTAATTTTAGATGATTAAAGAAGTTTTTTTTTTTTTGTAGCAGAACTACCTATTTTGATCGCACCAACAGTGGAAGTTGTAAGCGGAGATGCAGTTCGCGTACAATGGATTGAGGTTACCAGTGAGAACTGGAACGTGACATCGTACGTAATCATGTACAAGTCAGAAAATTCATCACTGTGGTTGGAGGTAAGAATCTGATGCTTTAATTTTAATAATTAGTTCCATTTGTTGTGGAATTGTAAATGAAAGATAGAATTCAAACTCTAGAAAGGCGCTGTACTAAATGATTGAAGACTTTATTTCTTATAAATCTTTCATCACAGAAGGAAATAGAACATTCGCCTGCGGACATAACTGGTTTGAGAGAGGAGTTATCATATCTGTTCAAAGTTGCGCCAAAGAGTGGTCCAACTATCGGTGAATTTTCCGAAGAAACAACACCGATACGTATAATTGGTAAGTTCAAAAATTTTCAGTACGGTCATATTACATTAAATTTTAAAATACGATCTTCTGAAAGCTTATAAATATTTTAAAGCTGTTAATAACTGATGGCAAAGAATTCCTACTTATGATGTACTTCATATTTTTTAGCAGCTAAAAAACCTGAAATAACAAAAGGTATCAAAGATGTCTCGGTTTCACGTAAACGTGAACTGAAATTGGAATGCCATGCAACTGGAGAACCTGTTCCACAATACATCTGGTATAAGGCTGACCGAGAAATCATTCCGGCTAGCGAGAATATTGAGGTTTTTCTAGAATTTCTGATCGATAAGTAAAACAGAAATCGTGAAAGCATATGACTAAGAAGTTATTTCGTCAAGAATATAATGAAAGCAAGAAGGACTTTCGAACCATTTTTTTTTCGAAATTTCATTTATTTTCATTTCCAGACTCTCAGTTTCTTCATTTTTATGTTAGTTTTATTTAAAAACTTGAAACTGCTATTTGAAAATTGGAAAGGTGAATGAAGTAAGTTTTACAGATTATCAATGAAGGCTTTATGAGCACTCTTTTCATTCATCATACATCGGAAATGGATGCCGGTTTGTATAAATGTGAAGTTGTTAACGATCTTGGTTCAGTAGATTCACAGGCTATCGTTACTGTCACAGGTATTTCTATAATTCCTATCGAAATTCCAAATTATACATTTCCTATTAGGAGTTGTGTTCATTCACTTATTGCATCTATTTTTGTTAAGTTGAGCTAAATGGCCAAATCTTGCAGAAGTGCGTGCGCATTTTGTCTCTTCATTTCCCGAATATTTGGAAATTAATGAAGGAGAAGAAATCGGATTTTCATGTGAGCTATCCGATGCCGATGCTTCTGTTGTCTGGTTAAAGGATGGCAAACCTCTGCGCTCTGATGATCGAATAATGATCAAAGAGGATGGCACTGAAAGAAAGCTTACAATCAGAAATGCAGTACTTGAAGATGGTGGCAGATATGTATGTAGCACTATTGATAAGAGGACTCAATCTGAAGCTGAATTGGTTGTCAAAGGTAACTAATATGCCTTGTTTCTAAATTACTGCTTTAATAATGTCCCAAAAAATATAACTATTATAAATTTAATATAAGTTTAATATAACTTCTGCAAATTTATAACTTTCCGGAAGTAAAATTTAGTGCGACTTTAATATAATCCTAAATAAAACTTCAAAAAATATAACTTTAATGATATTCCAAAAATACAAAAACATAACTATGGAAGTAATGATTATAAACTTGCAGAAGAGCTACCACATATCAAGAGAGGTCCACAAGATCAAGTTGTTACTGAATTTGGTACTACTATCGTGTTGAAATGCGAAACTACCAAGCCAGTGAAAACTGTAAAATGGTTTAGAAACAGGAAAGAAATTTGGCTACGACAAGAGAAATTCAACATGAATGTGAAAGAAACAATTGCGACATTAACAATAATGAACTTTGAGCTCAATGATTGCGGCGAATATACAGCAGCACTTCGTGAAGATGAAGAAAGTGCACCAGCTAAAGTAGAACTTAAGATAGCACCTACCATCAAGTTATTGAAAAATTTACCAAGCAATGTACTGAAATTGCATTGTGGCATTGATTTTGATATCGAATTCGTTTATGAAGGATTCCCTGAGGTCGATATTAGGACAACACTTAATGATAAACCACTGAATAAAATGAGATCACGTATGCATACATACGATAATAAGCTGTCATTGCGTCTCAAAAATATCATTCAAGAAGATTCGGGTATATTGAAAGTTGTGGTAGAAAATGAAATTGGAAGTGCAAGCGAAGAGATTCAATTGGATGTAATTAGTGTACCTTCCAAACCGCGTCATTTAACAGCTTTCAATATTACAAGCCGTTCAGTGATGCTGAAATGGGAGAAAGCTGAAGATAATGGATCTCCAATCACAAATTATATCATTGAAAGAAGAACAGCAGATATCAAACGTTGGCGCAATATTGGAAAATGTGAATCGGAACAATATGAATTTCTGGTTGAAGATTTGTATCCAAGTGAAAGCTACTCTTTCCGCATTGTTGCTGTGAATGAGGTTGGTGAAGGAGCGCCAAGTAATGTAGTTGATGTAGTGACAGTGGATGAAAGTGGTGAACTGGAAGAAATTACAAAACTTTTGCCAGCGCCCAGTTCTTTGAAAGCAACACTTGTTGAAGACGATCAGACTGCCCTAATCACATGGGAGATAGTTGAAGAAGCTGAGGAATATATCATTGAAAGATCAAAATTGGAAAATGATTGGGAACAAGTTGGTGTAACAACAGAACCGAAGTTTGATGATTCTTTTGATGAAAGTTTGAACTATAAGTACCGTATTATTGCAAAGAAGGGCGATCAATTGTCCAGTCCCAGTGAGGAGACAGAAATAGTGACCGTTCCTGCTCACAAAGAGAAAGAAGAAAAACAACAGGAGATGATTGAGACGGAACGACAAGAGACGGAGGAGCGAAAATCAGAAAAAGCAGATGATCAGGTGAAACAAGAAAAACAGCTAAAAAAGTAGCAAAAAAAAGAAGAATAAACAGGAGGGAGAAGATAGCAATGGTACAGCGGCGATAGTAGAAAAATTAGAGGATGAGCCTGAGGGAGAGGAAATGAGGGCTAATGAGAAGGCAAAAATGGAAGTTATAACCAGGAAGAAGAAGCCAAAGAAGGAACAGGAAGAAGAGAATGAAGTTGGTATAAAGATAGAAGATGAATTTAAGCCCTCCGAAAAAGTGATAGAGGAAAATGAGGAGAAAGTTGGATCGAGAAAAACTGTTAAGAAAAAAGCTCAGGGAAAGGGAAAGAAAGAAGCGGAAAAGGAGGAACTTTCTAAAGATGAAGTTGAAAGAGAGAAGGATTTTGAGCAGGAAAAGATTGAAGTTGAGAAGGAGCAGGATGGAGAGCTCAATTTAGGGGGGGAAATACATAAAATGAATTCTGAAAAAAATATTGAAAAAAAAGGGAGTGGTAAAGTAAAGCAAGAAGATGAAAGGATTACTGAAGATGGAAAATCGAAGAAAAAGAAGAAAAGTAAGCAAGAACCAGAAGAAACTGTGGAACAGAAATCAGGCGGATCAATTTCTCAAGTTGGTGAAGTATTGGTTAGTGGATTGGTCACTGAGAAGAAGGAGGAGGAAACAGAAGAAGAAACGATGAGAAGGGAAAAATTGGAGGTGAAACCTGCCAATAGTTCGGTAATGATCAACAATGGTACGAAGAATTTCGAATTAATCGTCAACATTATCGGTAATTACGATGAGTGTTATTGGACGAAAGATGAAAAAAGAATTGATAAAATGTTAGTGAAAACCTCAGCTAATACCTCCGTTTTGCGACTTGAAGATGTTGACGAATTGACAAAAGGATTGTATCAGTGCATTGCAACAAATAAAATGGAGAAAGCAATCGCTGAAATTGATGTTACTGTTACAGGTTAAATCGTTTATTCAGTAGTAATTTAATTGTAATAAGAATATCTGATTTTAATAAGTGTAAAATTAGGAAAGTAAAAATTATCAATAAGGAGTATATCGACCTTTTAAATAACACTGTTTTTAAGGAAATTTTACAGATTCCAAAGAGAATATTCAAATGAAATTTTCAGAGAAACCAAAAATTGAGTTTGAAGAAGCTACAATTGGAGCAAAAACTGGTGAAATGTTAAAAATTTATGCAAATGTTACGGGATTACCGATGCCAACTTGCAAATGGCTAAAAGATGGCGCAGAATTGAAGACAGATGAAAATACCATCATCACATTCAAGGAGGGTGTTGCCGTTGTAACAATTAAAAAAGCAGTTGTTGGTAATTCAGGTCTCTACAAATTGATGGTGGAAAATACATGCGGAAAGCAAGAAGATCAAGTTAAAGTGCTAATTAAAGGTTGGTGTTTTTGGTCATGTATTGTTGAATCAATTCAATCCAGCATTTACCTGATGATGACATAATTATGCCACACTTATTGCAGCAACTATTATGTGTTATTAAATAATAGACTGGTTCGGCTATATTTAATTAATCTTAACATCCAGCTCCTTTTTTTTGATTCAGTATCAAAATTATCTCAGCAAGTAACGCAATAGCAGCAAATAGGAATGAAAATTGGTTAGGAAAATGGTGATATCGATTTTTAGTGTTTTTTTTAAGGACACATAGATAATCTTTGAATAATTTATGACATCCTTTCCTTTCTTAGGAGTTCCGTCAGCACCAGTTGGTCCTTTACAAGTGTCCGATGTAACAAATGCTTCTTGTAAGCTTGCATGGAATCCTCCAGAACAAGACGGTAACAGTAAGTTGCTCGGTTACTGCATCGAGAAACGTGATGCTAAAAAATCAAGCTGGGCATTTGTTGCGCGTACTACAACAACAACTGCAACTATAACCAGTTTATCTGATAATTCAAAGTACTATTTTCGTGTTGTGGCTGAAAATGCATTCGGTACTGGTCCAGCTTTGGAAAATGAAGAACCGATACAACCGATAAAAATCACTGGTAAATATTTCTAATTCATATTTCATCTTTCGAGTAATTGATTACTTTATGGTGAATTTCTTCTATACATTAAAGGTATAATTTATGCGATTACTTTTAAAGCAAACTTATACATAACTAGATGAATCAACTAGTTTTGATAATAATTGGGGTAAATATTCTGATACACATTATTGAAACAAATGCCTTCCTAATTTTGAAAAATTGGATTTGAGATAATAAACGCTTCGAGGGAGAAAAGAATCTTTTTTGATAGTTATTTTCTTAAATGATTTTCCAATCGTTTTTAATCGTTTTCGGTTGCAGCAATTGAAAAACCAAAGATCAAGAAAGCGCCGGGGAAAGAAACTGGCAAAGTAGGTGATAAACTTACACTCAGTGTAGAATTTGTTGCTAAGCCAGTACCTGAAGTTCGCTGGTATAGAAACGGTGAAGAATTGTTCCATAATGTGGATAACACTATAATAAAAATGGATAAGAAATCGATGCTTACAATAGAGAAACTTATTGAGGATGATGAAGGAGACTATCAGGTATGGAAGATTAATTAAGTTTATTTCAAAAACTTTCTTTCTTTTGCAAAAAAAGGTTGATTGCTATAATCCTATCAGATTTTAAATTTCTAAGCAGGGAATTTCTGCTGTTTCTTTTTTTTCGGTCGTCTCAATTCAGCATTCATGAGATTCTTTCAGATTGTTGTGGAAAATGAAGGCGGTACAGCAGAACATAAATTCAACGTTGAAGTAAAATCGAAACCGATGATAATTGATGCTGGAAAGTATAAAGAGCCACAAGTTTTCAATAAAGGTGAAAACGTCAAACTACAACTCGCTTTCACTGGTTAGCTTACCTTCTGAATTTCTTTTTAGCAGTTTTTCAAATGGTATGATATAAGATTTCCATGGGTTTCACGATAATCCTTTGGGGATTTGGATGACTTGTGTGTAACGAAAAAGTTGAATTTAATGCAGAATTTATGACTGAACTTTTCATAATCCATTCATTCGCATGATTTTGATCTACTTATAAATCTCGGATTATTGTAAGGACATCTGAGACACTTTGGTTTATCTGATGAAGAAATGAAATCTCAGTAAAGTCAGGGATTAACGGAATCAGATCTAGATCGACTTTTTGAAATTGCACTGTGCTACCTGCATTATCTAATTTTCTAACATTATCTAATTTCTAACATTATCTAATAACAGAACTCATGTGATAATGAAACTATCCAGGTAATTTGAAATAGCATTTTGAAGAACTAGCGCAATAACAGTCCGACTTCTCACTGTTTTTAAATTCCAAGCTTTCACAACTTTGTATCATTACACAACATATTTTCACAACAAATATGAATTCTAACATTTAGAAAATGGTTTTTATATAATTAATAGGTGTAGAAGTTGAGGAGGTAAAATTACTTGTATTTTCTAATTTGGAAGAAATAAATATTTAAAAGAATGGAAAAGAAAGGTCATGCGGGTATTTAAATGTGGGTTACCTCAGTGGTTCAAATTAGCTGCTTCAACTTAAAGTTTTAATTATCTAATTTTAAATGATATTTCAAAGTTCCAGTTCTTCAAACTACTTTTTGTAGTTGCCTTCCTTGAGTCATCAATGATTCTGGTGCAGATTTAGTGTTTTAGTCTAAAACCATATGATTTATGGAGTTTTTCAGTCAAACTGTTGCAATACCACCATAATCCCTCTTAGATACGGTGAAATAGAAGTGAACAGTGTCATATCGTTACATGGAAAACTTATTGAGTAACGAAGAAAATTTTGTACAGATTTATAAAAACTAGAATGACGAGTCATTCATCATTTGAAATAGTACAACGATGATCCTCCGCTTACAATGATGTAATTCGAAATAGGCTTTGTTGAGATTACATTGCAAATTGCTTCTTATTTTGCAATCGAGTGAAAGATTTTCTGTTAAATCTTCAGATTTTTAACAAATCATGAGGTTAAGATCTGATCAGTAGTTCCCAAAGAGATTTCATTCATGATTTCAGTTCGAACTCAACGAACTTTCAGAAAACTAAAGTGCTCTTGAATTCAATTTACTGAATCGACACTTTACTGACAGATAGTAATAACTTCAGTGGCACTAAGAATACCTTTAACAACTGTAACGTATGTACATTGAGATGACAAGACAGTAAGCCAAGAAACTGAAGTGAATTCATCAAGCTGGGATGGACTAATATGAAAGATTGAGATGAATAGTGCTGAGTAAAAGTTATGAATCCTCATTATCAATTTCCCTATTTAACATCGATTGTATTCTACGATCCTGTCGTATATGATTCAATCTTTGTTGCTCCACTTGTTGCTCATCTTGGGCCACTTTGATGAAATTATCGACGATAATTGTAATCGGTAAGGCTAACACTAGTACACCGCACATTATTGCTGCTGATGCGATTATTTTGCCCACTGCAAGTGAAAGATATGAATGATTTAAAAGTTTATTTAAATTTTGAAATCAGAATGGTATTGGAATAAGAATTACTTGTTGTTGCTGGAACAGCATCTCCATAGCCAACTGTCGTCATCGTTACTATACCTGTAATATCAAATTAGAATATGTTTCTGCTTCAATGACTTTTTTTTTGCCTTCATCAAGTTCAGCTTGTTTTAAATTGTAAGGAACAAAACATAGTTCTGATAAGGATTAATTATTAACTTGTGAACAAATTGATTTTATAATGAAAAGTAGAAAGTAACTTACACCACCAATAGGCAGCAGGTATACTAGTAAATGGTGTCCCATCTTCATCCTTTTCTAGAAAATAGATCATCGTGGAGAAGAAAACGACACCAGTGAGCAAAACAATTGTCATCATTTGCAATTGTTTTTGACTCCTTTGTAATGTCATTGCAAAAGTCTGTAGACCGGAACTAAATCTGCCAAGTTTAATAATTCGTATCACTCGTAGGACCCGTAATATACGAACCACTAAGAAAGCCCAACGTAAATCACGCAATTTCTTGTCGTCTACACCACAGAGTGTTAAGAGTAATTCAAGATAGAATGGGACAATTGCCATTAAATCTACCAAATTTAATGGTTTTAACGCAAAACGAAATTTCTTTGGTGCAGCAAATAATCGGAGGCAATATTCGACAGTGAAAAATGCTATGCAAATACGTTCCGTTAATACAAAAATTTGATGCTCAATCCGTATTTCTTCAATTTTTTCAACTACAGTTATAGTACCATTTGGAAGTAGAATTGTTTCATTTTCAGCAGGCAAATACTGGATCACCTAAAATGATCATTTTCAGATGCTTAAGCTTGAATTCTGCGCAATTAGTTTCAGTATTGGAGAACATTGGCGCAAATAAGTAAATTATGAAAGTTTCAAGAGAATGGATAAGAAGATAAGGCAGCTTACTGTAGTATATCGCATGCACATTTTTAGCATTGTGAGCATAAAATGACATGAATCGATAAATATTGTGATCTCGATTATTTCAAGAAGATCAACATCCATTAACAATGAGCAATTTTAGTAACTACGCAGTGTTAGTGATAGCAACTACTGTTTGTTAACTGATAACTCGAAGTATTTTTTGCAATACTTTTTTTCGAATATACTAAATCTTTCGTTCACACTTTTCTCTTTTTTGGCGCTATTGAAACAGAAGAATGATAAAGGAAACTTTCAGTTCTGATATGATTAGTAGTACTTCTGTCCAGTTTTTTCCCAACAAAAGTGTTTAATATGTAAAATTTCAGTTGTAAAAACGAACCTGAAAATCTGGAATAGTTCCAAAGCTTAAACCCATAACAGATATAGCAACAAATAGTGTTGAGGATAGTTCAAATGCTTTAGCCTGAACCGATGAACCAGGTCTTTCCAGGAAGGTCCACATCTTTTTCCTTACTCTTCCGAACATCAAATTATCAAAGGTTTTATTATCAACCTGGAAAAAAACATTTTATGACTTTGTCTTCAAATTTTTGGGAAATCATTAGGGATATACTTTTTCTTCTTCCTTTCCTTCGAATCGATCCCGGGCTACAACATCAGCACAACAAGAGCCAATAGATCGATAGGAAATTCCCCAAAATTCCAGTTCTGACATGAAAGCAGTTGGACATATTTCTGGTGGCCTATGCACAACACCGGTTGCATAATATTGAAATACAGCATCAAATGCATATGGCGACCTTTGAAAATAATATGCATCTTCAGATGCTATATATGCATCCGCGACCTGAAATGAAACGGATATTATTTATGGTTAAAATAGGTGAATTCCGAAAAACACGTACAAATCATAAATTTTTACTTGCACTGTTTTTTTTATGTCAGAAAATATAGTTTTGGTTTTGTTGATATAAACAAATATTTGAAATGACTTTGCGTATAAGTTAAGCATTGAAATTAAGTCTTACTTAAAAAGTTGCTTTTAACAGCTTTTTTGATGAATTCACAAATTTAAACTTATAACTGTTTCTCAAATGTAAGAACATTTTATAAAGGTATTTTTTATTTTAAAATTGTTTCTAAATAATTTTCTGTTCTTCCATTATGATTCCTTTTTAGTTTGTACAGTATTCTGATATAACTTCACAGTAAAAGTTTAACCTATTAGGATTTTTTTTTCAGTCCAAAATATTCCTTCAGAGTATTGTCTGAAGACAAAATGTTTTTTTTAGAATAAGTAAACATAGCCTAAAAAAAGAAAATTTAATTTTCCAAATGCATTGTGTTGATTTTTTTCGTTAAAGAAAAGATTTTTCGAATACATAAGAAAGCAAACCTTTAATCTTGATTTATGATTTAGCTGAACAAATTTAGAAAGAAAACTAGTTAGTTCTGCTTGTAGAATTGTTTCTATCAATAATAGGTATGAGGTACCACCAATATTAAGCCTAAGAAGCATTGGTTCGCCATCGTCACTATGTCCATCGGGTGGTACTGCCTGAAAATTGTTGCTAATGATTTTGCTGGAGTTAATTAAATTTCATAGAACTCGAGAGTTTTCATATTCAAAAAAATGAATTAAATAGAAATGAGAGAAAAAATTCGGATGTATTAAGGACTTATATATGATTAACAGATGGTGATATAGTATTGATAAGAGAACGCGAAAGACACTTTGGTATCTTCAAAAAATTTGAGAACAGTGCAAAACGATATTTCCACCCAATTACTGAACTTCAGATAGTTACATGGTTATATAATAATTTTAAATGAAACCTGGAAACAGTCCGTTCCGCTACCCCAAATTTCATGGAGACGGTCAGCGTTCCTTTTTCCGATACTTGAAGCCGCATCGATCTGGTGTAGCGAAACAAGCCGTTTCCTGTGCTTTTGGGCCGCACTATAAAAATTTATTATTTTTGCTGCTTTAGTTCCATTTAATTACTCTCTGCTTTTTTATAAGAATGATAAAAGCTGCTTCGTGATATCTTCTGATTTCCCTTTTAGTTATTCAAATAGTTAATTTGTTACAAATTTAATTTAGAATTTAGCTTTTTAGAATCAATTCAATCAGCATAATTAGGGAAATTAATTTCACGAATTTAAGGTATAAAGGCTGGAATTTTCAGTTTTAGATTCATTAGGATACTAACTCACTCTATAGTGGATCAGTTTTCGAAGTTGGAAACTGTAATATATGCAGTAAATTTAGGTAGCTCATTAGTTTTTTAATGAGCGTTAATTATGCATTAATTTTTTCGAAGAATTAAAATAAGTAAAAGTAAACAACCACGAAGCAGCGTAGCATAAGATAGATGGATTGGCTCACCCGGTGATCATGTTGCTTGTGACCCTGCAAAATTTGAATTTAAAAAATTCATTCGTATTAACAACTGGAATTGCTATTGCTTTTTATTTAGAATTCTTTTCCAACTTTTCTTTATAATATTTGAATAGTTGTTTCTCTTTACTTGTTAAATTGCTACATTTCCTCGAAAATTTCTTATTTTCCGAAACAAATCTTCCAAAAGAAAAAAAATGAAAATCGAAATAGAAAACCAATACCCAGTTTATGTCTACAAACTAAAAGTGGGATAAATGAATTTGAGAAAGCTTCTGGTTTCTCGTTTAAAACAAAAAAGAAAGCTTATCACTATTATGGTGTGATAATATTGATTTCAATGTTTTTGGTAATTAAGTTCAGATGAATGATTTGATATTAGTGCTGACAAGAAACAGATTAAATAATTTTTGTGAAATGTATACATTTAAGCTTCAGGCTTTTGAAATTCTCAAAATGAAGATGAAAACAAGCAAAATTATTTATTTGTTTCAAGATTAAAGATTTTTGAGGTAAATAAAGTAGTGAAAAAGTAGGAAAACAAAAAGAAGCTCCAACTCCTGCAGTTTGAAAGTAAATATACTGGCATGTCCGGTTATACTGCAAAGTCTTCTGGATAAATTTGAGAAACTATCGGTCAGCGATGATGTTACTTACTTGAATATATAGCTGTATGTATGTCTGTGTGTGTGTGTGTGTGTGTATGTGTATGTGTGTGGTTTGTATGTGTATCAAGAAGAAATGTATAGACGACATCAAAAGTACTGATTAACAAAAAATTTCTCTTTCAACTCCAATTAAATGCAATAAAATTTTATACTATAAGTCTACTACTTGCTTGTTGTGTGCGCTTCTTCGTTGCCATATCTTGGGTCATTTTCGAGCGACCAATTTCGAGCTAAGTCTACTACTTGCTTGTTGTGTGCGCTTCTTCATTGCCATATCTTGGGTCAATTTTCGAGTGTCCTGAACTGCCTGTATACAGGATTAGGTTTGTGGCCGTACTTTATCATCTGCTGTTTATCGCTATAGGGCTTTGTAAATGCGGGTATATCCTTCGAGCCTGCGCAGTAGCTTTTTTAGGTGAAATACACGTGCGCAAAACTGATTTATTCTTTACTCTTAAGGTTTATCTATCAGAATCTAGCAAACTAGGATGTTACAAAGTCTCATGTCGTAAGTTTGCTTGAAGTGCTCTTCCTTTAGATAATGATTTTACAGGAGGGCTAAAAGAATTCCATCTGCTTGGGTTTAGAATTAAAGTTATCCACCTTCTAGGATAGTTGTCGGGAAGCTAATGAGCTCATCTGCCTGTGAACGCACTTTATCTGATCCTTCAGCTGAAATTTGTCTGGTATAGGAGATCATGCTTGAGGTATACGCTATTGCCAATATAGCTCACAACCTTATAATGACACGCAAGCTCCTCCTTTACTGCAAGACAATATTGACTAATACATTTCAATATCAATAATAAAGGTGTAGAGAGAAGGCAATAATAGATGACAAAGGGGGCATTTAAAGTGATATATTTATATGAATGAATTGTGATAAGAGTGATATAATAGAAGTATGAGAAAATATATGAAAGACTTGTGAAAGTGTCGCATATCATTGTTTTTATTTGTTTCAAGAATTGACAATCTTAGATTGTTCGAAAAGGCAATGTTATGCAGAGTTAGCAAAGTAATCAAAGATAATTAAATGGGGTATTAGTTGAAAATGAGCAAAATTGTTTTTAAAATACTTGAATTTAGGCTGAAATATTTTTATGCGTAAGTTTTTTCTTTCCCCAGAAACCTTCTTATGCTTAGAAGCATAGAAAATTTATTTGAAGCTGAATTTTCATCGATAGAACAAGCTAAGAAGGAAGGAAGGAAGGATGAAGAATTCGGTTTCACAAGCTTTCACCAAATCAAATTTGAAGATCAATTCTAAACAGTTATTTCCTGTTTCTAATTTACAAATGATCTTTGAGGAAAGAGTTGATGGATGGATCAAGGAGAGAAAATTATGAAGAATGGAAATTTTTGGCGTCTGCAACCTATTGCTAACAGATATTTGAAACCTCAAATTTAAGATTTATCAAATTTGGAAATTTTTTTTTAATTGGAAAATTTTTGCTTTTTATAAAGAAGCATATTTCTGAAAAATACTCAAAATTTATTTCAGGTTTTCAATATCTAATAAAATCAACTTGTCAGAAGAGTGGCAAGCAGATAGTAGATTTGCTGAAAATCACTTTACAAAAACATAGGATTACATGCTAATGCACAATGTAAATTTGTTCATTTATTAATGAGTGTGTGGGAGTTTTTGCAAAAATTTTGTTTCATTAAGAGAAAGAGAGGGAATAAGTTTGAAGTAAGGGCTTAAGATAAGAGTTGATTTGGAATATTTCTTCCAAAAGTTAATAAGCAATCGAATTGTATTGTCAAGAAGTCGTTAATTAGTACGATATTTTGTTATTGGCGACCATTAGTCCATTATTTAGTCATATTTTCTCATAATCTATTGTAAATGGTCTTTTTATTTGTGAAAAAGCTTTTGAATATGAAATACTCTTTAAAGTTTAGATCTAACAGTTAAGAGTTGCATAGTTAAACTTGAATGTTGAGACTAGGATAAAAAAGACAAGTTCCAAAAATGATCTCATATCTTCAAATCATGAGCTGAAAACGATTAGTGGATCCCTTTAATGGTTGCATTGTTATAACCTAATTTATGGAGAGAACAAATTGCAACATTTCAAAAATTTTTTTTCGTATTTCGTATTTCTAGTAGTCAAAATTTGGAAATTTTATATTTGATTTATTTTTCTTTTAGAAATTTCATATTTAATTTTCTTTTTTTTCAACTCATTTAGATATTAAAAAATTTAACAGAGAAATAAGAAGGAATAAAATTAACTGAAATATATAAATTTTTGTAATAACTATCTCATTACCATCCCAGCAAATATAACATTAAATGTGTAAAAATGGTTTTTTTTTTCTTTTTTTTTAATCACTAATTTTCCGTAAATTTTGCTTAGGCTTAGACTAGTCAGGAAGGCTTTTTGGAAAGACATATATTTACCAGAAAATGTATGAGTAATATAATGAGTGGTAAAACTCAAATTTCATTAAACAACAAGCGCCATCAAAGGTTGCACAACAAAATCAGTAACACCTGCCAACGAATCGATGTTCCGCTCAGCTCGGAAATGATTGTTGGTATGGAATGGATAAAAACAACTTTTAGAATCGAAAATGTGTGACTTAATGGTACTTTAAGTTTTTGTTTTCGACTGCAAAAAATATAGGAAAAAGGTGACAATTTGGTAAGAATATACGAAACAGATAAACAAATAAATAGACATAGAAGGAATTTTTCAAGTGAATTTTTATAATTTTGTTTGACTGGTTGATTTTATAATAGGAAGCGAAGCTGTCGTGGAGAAGATGGTATAGCTGTAGTGAAAAAAGGAACTGGTGTTGCGGAAGGAATAGCTGAAGTTAAATTTAGTATAGATTTTGGAAGCTAAGTACACATCCAGTTCACAGGAAGCGGTGATGAGTTTGTGTGCGAAAGAGCATTGAAGATGAAGAAGGAGATGGTAACACATCTCAAATTTAAGTTTCATTTTTAATAATTACAATTACAGACTTATGATTTATAAAATTTAGTTCCTTTTCTGGAAATGAATATAACCCATAATGCAATTCAAAAAAGAAAAGCCTTCGTCAGAATTGATAACCTTCCACTCATTCCCAAAGATTTGCTCGATTTAAGTCCAATATCTTTTTTTTTAGTTCTGCTTCTATAATTTTTCTAGCTCCCACAGGAAAAGTTATGGGAGCAACTAAAAAATTTGGATTCGATGGAAGATATTTTAAATGTCAAAAAATGATTTTTGTCAAGTGGCTGTTGTTATCCGTAAGCTATAATCGGATAATTAAAATTATATTTGCGTCCCATCTTTTGCCAATATATTACGTTGAATGTACTGCTCTATAATTAATTTTTCAGATTACATCATACTTATTTGTAATGTTTTAAAAGCTGTAAAAAAAAGTATCCAAAGTAGAGCGAAACTATCAATAATGAATAATTTGTTGCTATTGTCGAGTAATATGTCAAATCAGACTACTTTCGCTTCTTTATTTTGAAATATTTGCTTTAAATATTGAAGAAATTTGTGCATATTTTTTTCACATAACTTTTAACAACTCTAAGAAGTTAATATTATAATGCATTCAGTTTTTTGGAAATAATCTGAATGAAACAATTTTTAAATAGAAGAAACTAACTCTTTTCACAAGATCAAAGGTCACTTTTGACAAATGTAAAAATGTTGCAAATAAAAATTGATTAAACAACAAAATTAATTAATAATACACTTCATGTTTATGCATCTGTAATTAATATTTTACCATTTACTGCTCTCTCATTAATTAATTTTGAATTACTTTTTGATTTTAGAAACAATTAGAAAATTAAACGAAGAGAAGTCATATGGATATCCCAGATTATATTACTATTAAAAATATTTATCGTTTTATTTAAGATTTTAAATTAATTTAAAGATGCAAGAATTTAAAATTAATTCATATTATAAGCAGTGGATAATTATGTGAATGGACTGTTACATTTAATTTTATGTATCTAACCATATACCATTCTATCTTATCTTAGCACTTATAAATTATTCATGGATTTGGTTACAGTGTGTAATGATATGACGCTATATACATTTTATATATGTATACAAAGATATAAGGCTAAAAGTAGATACTGTAATATATAGTTTGCTAGATTAGGTATGAAAATATTTTGGACATTAATTGTTGACTGGAAATTAATTAAATAATCATCTACTTATTTCGTTAATTTAGTCAAAATTATTGAAATATCATGTTTATAAAATGAAATTAATAATATCTATTCTTCCTCTCCTTCGTCTTCCTCTTTCCTTATTTCAACATTCAATTCAATCATTGATCACTAACTCTGACAATGAGTACATGATTTCGGTAACGGGCAGTAAAGAGATAAATGGAAGTTGTTAGGATGGAGAAGCTTAGGAAAAAAATGGAGAAATACTTCGAAATGTAGAAGTGCTACTAGTTAATGTCAACTAAAATTAGCAATTTGATATTGTTATCTGATCTCAGATGATTGACATAAAACATCTTATTGTTAATTAATACTTCATTGCTAATGATGAATTTCAAAAATCAAAATCATTGACCATCAACATTACACGAAATGGATAATAATGATGGTGATAATGATGATGATTATGGTGACAGTCAAATATGGGATTAGTAATGTTAATTTTCTAGAAAGTTGACAGAATAACTTTCCTAGTATTTTTTGAAATATTTTACGATTATTTTTTGCAGGTTTAATCTTCCTTTAAATTTCGAAATAGTGCTCATGTGCAGTTTTGGCAATTCATGAATTTTAGAGTGCAATCATATAATTTGGGAGGTAGCTTAAGTGCAAATTAAATTAAATTTACTAAAAAATTAAAAAAAGTTACTATGCTGCAAGTAATGAGACATATGCTTAGCACAATACACTTTTCGTCTGTCAGTTTTAAAATCTGACAATTTGTTTGACAGAGTAGAGTGTGAAATCAGTTACTATCGATGCTCATAAAAATTGGAAAAAATGTAAACTTTGAAATATCGTAGGCTTCTTCGGTAATCCAGTATGAGAAGTTAAATAACTGAGAACTCCAGTAAGATTTAATGAATGAATGAGATTAATTCATTAATGAAATATAGTTATACTCACACTAAGAATAGCCTGAGATAAATCTCATCTTACACTTTGATGAGAATTTCTTCCATTATTATAGGCAGAAGCAAAAATAGTGCATTCTTCGTATTAGTATAAAAACTTACCCAATGGAATATATTCTCCCGGCTTCATCATTAATAGAATATTTGCACAGAGATCGGTAATCTCTAAGCAGATATGATGAATATACTGCAGCATGCATTATGCTGAATCCAAATTTATTGTTATTAAAATTTTCTTAGCATGCAAAATTTGCAATTTTTGCAAAATTTGCAACTTTCGAAACTTATGCTTATTTTTTTTTAAAAAAAGAATTCCTAAAATGTAAGGAATAGTACACGTTCGTAACGTTTATCAGATCAATGAATATAACTATGAAGTCAGATTCTGATTAGGAATTTCAGAATGAATGATGAAAAAGCTACGAGTATGAGTAAGCCTCCTTTCGTTTCACATTCATCCGTTTTCAAGCTCCATATCATTTCATTTCATTTCCCTCTGGTATTCATCATCTTAGTTAATTTCTCTGCACTTTCCCCGAATTATGGTGCAATTTTTTAGTCCTTTACCAAATAATTTTCATTTTTTTCATGTTTATTTCCCATTTTTCAGAAAAATTTCTCATATAAAAAAATTCAATTACTAAGTTGGACAGCATGTCTTAAACAAAAAAAAGAGAAATTTTACATAAATATGTCAGAACAATTTATTAATAAATAATGTAAATTTGAAAAGATGATTAGACAGAGACCAAAGATTTCAATATGAATTATTTGAAAGAAAAAAAAATTATGGAATCAAACTATTTGTAAAGAAAAAAGAAAGGACTTATTTACTGATATAATATTTAACTTACTTGACATGCACAATCGTTTCGATATTTTCGAATATGATTAACGATACAGATACAATCACAGTAATACTTAAATTTTATCATTCTCAATTAAAGAGAAATTTGAATTATAAAGTATTGTATTACGAAATTCGTCATTCATACGAATGTTACTCAAGAATAAATTATATTTCGATTAAAACATTCAAGCCAAATTTTAGATTAGATGTTGATAAAATGCTAGAGCAATCTAGTTAGATGAAAATATCCAAAAATAGATGACACATACTTGATGATATAGAAATTATCGAGTATGTTGATGTGTTTGTTTGTAATGTGTTGTGACGAAAAAAAGAAAAAAAGATAATTATGTATTCTTTCTAAACGTATCTCATTTACTGATATAGGAAAATAAAGAAATGGAGAATGATCATATTGACAGTTTTCTTTATTTAATGAAATGAACAAGCAGAAAGTTAGGACAACAAAAAGTTTTCTGATAAAAGCTATTCTACATTTTAATTTTTCTTTTTTTATTTAAAGAAATTTCACAAAATTTCTAAAAAAATTTTTCTGTTATACTTTTATCTCATTGTTTTGAACTGATGTAATCATTTGTTACTTATCAATTTGTTTATTTTTTCTATCAGTACTATTTTACTGATAATAATAGCATAGTGAGTTCAACTTGGAGTTTTTATAATCATCTATCTCTAGCTTACATCTTGATAATATATTCCTGTCTGTTATCTGTTTGAAAATGGAGACCCGGAAGTGTTTCACATTAAAAGACGAAACAGAAAAGAAAGTTTAACTTTTTTGATGGCTTTGGCTATATTAGTTTCATTTCTTTTAAGACAATGATAGTAGGAAATATAGTTTACATCTTAAATCAGCAATTAAATTCAGATAGTGCAGTTGCTTGGGTCATTGGTAGTTTATTAAAAAAAAAAAAAAATTGAAAATCGTTATGGCTTTTCGAATGGAAATATGGCAATTAGGCATAATTAGATGTTTAGATTCATTGAAAAGTACGTAGATATTTGAAAAAGAAAGCTTTAAATGATAAATTTTAGTGGAAGAATATGATTAATTTTATAATTAATAATGAGACAGATTTTACTATTATGAGATTTTATATAAGAATTTGAATGAATTTAGAAAAGGACATGTCATGATTCCTTCAAATTTCACTTTCCTTCAGCTGTGGCTGTATAAACTTTTTCAGAAATTTTTCACATTTTTTTTCACTTTAAAGTATTTAGGAAGGTATTTTAATATTTCGAAATCATGTAATGTATATATGATAAAGTGTAATACTTACTTGGTAGTGCGCATGGTGGAATATCGAAGTAGTTAGTGTTGCTCCTTCACCTTCTATTTCTATTTTTATTTGTTCCTATTCAATTTTTGAGGTTTAAATTACTCTACCATTCTTCTTTTTTTTTTTTTTTGATTGACGAAAGTAGAATTTGCAATTGTCCATCATAGTTGAAAAAGGGACAGGATTTATGGTTCAGTTATTTCATGATATTTAATAGCTATTTATATCAAAGTCCTCTTCTTTATTTTTTTATTTTTATTTTTATTTTTTGGATGTGCGACACAAATTCACTGCTTGCCATGAAAGTATTAAAGTCAAGGCTTTCATGCGAGCCAGCTTGATAATATCAAGTTCTGTTTTTTGACAATTGAATTCAAACTTTAGAAGAATCTAGTTAACATTTCCTTATATATAGAATTACCAAAAGTACATAAATGATGAAGAATTGTTCCCTTCTGTTCGAATTCTCGAGTGAAAAAAAATTTTAGCCTATAAAAATGTCTTTGATCTGCAAAGAGAATACAGGTAATTCAACCGAATTTTAAAGCTAAATATTTGAAATTACGCGAATATGATAAATCTCTTGAAGGTCCTGGTAATTAAGGGATAAAAGTAATAAAATTAAGTAATGGGATTAAGTAATATTTAATTAAATTTATTCAAAAGTGACAATTTATCCATTGGTACACTTTTTAAGATCCCTCAGAACTTACCTTAATTTAGTGTTTGCTGTATTTTCAAAGTAAGTAGTTTTCTTCAGAAATAACATAATAATGATAATAGTAACAAATGGTAACAGGTGAATGATAAAAGTGACACAATTAACTTACCTTAACATCGTAACCAGATTGAATGATTGCATTCAATCATGAATGTATCTCAGAAAGTCACGTGTGGGAATAAGATGAAATGCATTTCTTGCTCGGAAAAATTTCTGCACAAAAAAAAGGCATACATTAGTTTAAAGTGTCAATAAGAAAAAGAATAAAAAGCCGGTATATCTCGAGGTGAATATAAAATTGAACTTTAATTTCTAATGTGTTCGATTTGTATTCAATCGCTACACTTTCAATGGCAAATAATCAGAATATTATATGAGCTCAATGTTTATTGGTAAAAATTTTCCGGATATAATATTTGTGTGGCCAAAAATATCTTTTATTCATTAGATATGCGATGCAAAACAGAAAACAGCTTTCCGGAAAAAAGAAACGATTTTTGCATAATGTGACCGGGCGTAAATTCAGTGGAATGGAAAGTAAAGTTATGTATCGTTTTAAATTAATGTCGATTTATGGCATTTTCCCTCCCTTGATTCATAGGTGATATGATATGGAATATATAATTTCCTTCATTTCTATTAAAAATATGCAAAAATTTATTAAGAAGCGAAGATAAGAAAGAAATTTGAAAAAGAAATAAAACATTGATGAAAATTATTTAATGATAATATTGTTAACTATTATTATTAATTAAAGTAAATCGCAGGTGACGGGAGTACCATTTACTAGTTGAAACAATAAAACTCTTTGAAATCTTTATCTTTTAATATTTAACAATTTTTTAATCGCCAATAAATTTAAAATCCTACAATCAATTTCCAGTTTTCAACGAATTCAAATGATGTCTTCGTTTAGTTGATTAACCCAAAAAGTACTAGGAGGTAGGTCTAGTGATAGTTTGCGCAATCATTAGCAAGAAATCATATAATTCTAATAAAATAAGAAGATGATAAAGTTTCATTTTTTGAAGTGTCTTCAAGATTACAGCTTGAAAGAGTGATCTGAGTGCAAAGAGATTCTCCCCAAAAAAAGAAATTTATTGAGAAGCATTTGTTTCCAACTGAATAACAAATGAAGTGGATTTCTATAAATTAAAAAAAAAGTGTTCTTCATATTTAGAAGCCTATGGCATATGATAATTGAAGAAGAGTGAAGTTCTCAGCAATTTTTGATCGTACATTAACTGATTCTAACTCATCATGGAAATTTATCATATCGATTACAGAGCTATCTTACGCAACTGATAATCCTTTTTAAATTGGTAGTTAAATTACCAGAGAAATTTTTTCAGGGAAGCCGCATCCAGATGTGGAATGGCTGGACACAAACGGTAAACCAATTGCCACAAAATCTGATCGTTTCAAGGTATCTTAACAGTTTATCAGTACTGAAATTGCAATATGAAGACCATCCAGATATATTTATAGGGCTGTTGAAATGGGCTTACGAATTATTCACGATGCTAAGATGATAGTTATTCGGAGTGTTTTAAAACATTTATTGATAAATGTGTTTGTCACTGAATTCTCTTATTGATAAAAAAAAGTGGTAATAAAGGATTTTTATAGGCGTTCAGAATTTTTGCTTACTCAATCATTTTATAAAATCATTATTAGTTATTGGATAAATGGAGGACGAGTTCATAGGATATAACTGCAGAAATTTCAATAAATTTGAATAAAATTCAAATTTTAGGTTACAACAGTTGGCCGGTTAACAACACTTACAGTACTGGGAGTGGATAATGATGTACAAGGCAAGTATTTGCTCAAAGTTAAAAATGAATTGGGCGAAGCAAAATGCGAAATCCTCGTTGAGGTTTGATTTATTCATGTTTATATTGAATTTCGAAAGAAAATTAGTTGGATTCCATTAAAACAACACATTGGAATTCAATTGAAGAAATGTCGTGCAAAAATGCAATTTGCAACATTTCTTCTCTGTGCCCTAAAAAATCTAAATGCTACTGATTTCGAAAAGAAATTACGAATGAATTTAAACAAAAACTTTATATGAGATTAAAAGTTTGGTTCAACCGCATAGATTAAATTGAAATTCTATGAGCAGAAAGGAAAGCGATCTTAGGTATAACTTCAATTTTTAAAATAATTAAGAGCGTTTCTAATTTTCCAATGTTTTTGCATAATTTTGAAATTTGCATCTTAAATTTAAAAACAAATTATTTTTACATAATTTTGAAATAAATAAGAAAAAGAAATCTAGGCTTACTTAATCATTGCCGTTTTCTGGATTCTTATATTTTTATTAAATATTATTGCACCATTGTTTTAGGTTCTGGAACGTCCAGTTATACCAGGTCGACCAATTCTTGAAAAGCAGAAATTCAATTCGGTGAGCTTGCAATGGAATACAATACCACAAGCTGCTAACCAAAAAGTAGAATATATCGTTGAAATGAAAAAGGTTAATTTCACTTTTCTCGAATTAATTTAATTTAAAATTTTTCAGAATTTCTCAGGAAAAGAGGGAAATAAGCTGTCTCTTTTCTGGACTAATTTCTGCTCACTTTCATCTTCTTTTAACTATCTCAGAGACTGAAATATACTCTCTCTTATTGACACTTTCAAATTTTATGAGGAAAATTAAAAAACTCTTCGATGAATTGAGCTGAGGTAATTATGGCATCCAGAAATATATTAATTAACTTACTTGTTTTATATGAAAATTCTAGGCGAATTATTTATAAACAGGAGGTAAAAAGAGAGAGAGAAAGAGAAAGAAAACAGAGAAGGACAGGAAATCTAATATTGTTTGTGTAATTTCAAATAAAATGGTGCCGTTAAGAAAGGCATCTGAAATTGATTTAAATGAAGTAATTGTTTTTTTCTTTTTTTGAAGATTAAATGAATGATATGGGGATAGCTAATTCAGGAACAAAATATGAACAAAAAAATGGTTAAATCATTGCAAAAAAAATTACAATTTAAATCTGTTAATTGCAAATTAGTTTAGATAGCCTTAAATTGATTTTTACTAATTAAAGTAAGGATGACGACAATCAAAATATTACTGGTAATACAAATATCCTTGAATGCAACCCTTTGTTGAGGCACTCGACAAGATCTTGGGTAGTTTATTATTAAAATCTATTGAAATGAGTGAGAAATTAATAGCTGCTTTACGAGGAAGTTAGGTAAAGATTAAGATGTTAAAGCGCTGTTGTCCGATGTTATGATCGAGAAGTAATCACCAGAATTTGATTTTTGTTTAGCAACATTTCCTTTAAAATAAGTAATAAATAATAAGTAATAAAGTTAACAAAAAAAAAAACAATAAAAAAGGATGTGAACATTAATATAGTCAAGCTTATTTAAGGTAATATTCTGTTGTAAAAAAAGAGGAGAAAGTTTAGCAGAATGAGTAGGAAGGATCGAAAGTGCCCAATTAAATGAAGAAATGATAAAACGCAATATTTTGTTATGTGTCAGGGATGTGCACTGTCAAATTGGAAGGAATTTAAAATTCAAAATTAGTCATTCATCTCAATTGGCATCGGATATGAAATGGTTTACTGAAAAGTTTATTTAGCAAGGTGAAGAAGAATGGGTAAAGGTGGTCGAAACTGTTCAACTGAATGTGACAGTGAAAGAACTTGAGTCTGATAACACGTATCGGTTCCGTGTACGTGCCAGCATTGCAGGTGTTATAAGCGAGCCATCTGAAGAATCGGAATCGGTAAGAGCTTGCAAAAATTTTATAAAACTTTCGAACAAATCCATTAAGTTAGAGACAAACATACTAAAAAATGCAAACAGAGAATTATTAGCATGTATGTTGTGAATTAAAGGGATGGTTGATGTGCTAGGCTTGTCAAGCAGATTATCAAGTGCAGAAAGCCTCATCTAATCCAGGAAATAAGCCTGAACTGATCTGTTTGCATTCTGTTACTTTGTTCAGGGAGGAAAACTATTTTGAAATGAAAAAGGAAGATTAAAAACTGGCCATGAAAAGTTCATTGTTTCATTTTCAAATTCGTATATTGATTATTTCCAATCTTTTTTATTAATAGATTATTAATCTTAAAAATGCATCAAACTATTTAGAAACAATCAGAAAATGATCTAAAATATATGTTTATCAGCTTCTCATCTTTTTTATCCTTTGAAAACCTCCAAATATAAAATGTAAAGACTAGAGGAAAATCATTGTTTTTTTTTTTGAAATGTTCTATTTAATTTCTCAACTTCCAAAGTCTATGAAATGTAAAGACTAGAAGAAAATCATTGTTTTTTTTTGAAATGTTCTATCTAATTTCCCACTGAAATAACTCCTAGACATAGGATAATCTCTCAGGATCGGGTCTAATCTTTAAAAGAGCCATTGATAAAAGAGTAGTTCAAGAGAAACATAGCAGAAACATCTTAAAATCAATAATTTCCTTTTTTTTTTTAGAAGAAAAGGATAGAAATATAACGAAATGAAACCGTTTACTTTAATATTTTGATTAATATATTGCTAATTCAATGAATTTAGTATTTATTCCTTTTCAGTTTTTCGTTGGATATGAGAAATTGGAAAAGAAAGAGAATGGGCAGGTTGAAAAACAGAATGAAGCAATTAATTATGATGAACTCTTTACCGATGTGAAGCCATTAGAATACCGTGATATCGATATGCTAAAACTTTCTACTGATTTCGAATCCAAGGTAAGAAAAGTATAACACATATGAAAATGTGAGGTTGTAATTAAAGATATAGAAAAGAGCAAAATTTTATAGTGGCTGTTTGATCTTAACCACATTTGTTTTGGTCTCAATGGAGAGCTTATCTATTTTATAATTGTTGAAAAGAATTTCTAATCTCCCAATAAAAAATGATGCATCTGTCAAGAGAATTCGCGGGTATAGTGAACGCAATTGTAATGTTATCGCATAATTTTTGTTTTTTTTTTTTTTTTTCAATTATTCATTGACTTTTTATAAAAAATGGGAAAAAGGGATTGAAAGCTTGTGCTTCGTAGGGAAAGCAATCTATCAATATTTCACAAAAATATCGAAACTTCAGTGTTCTGGTTATGTAAAATAAGATTCTAATAACAATGACAAAATTTCAACAAAAAATGCTTTCCATTAGTTTATTTCAGTAGTTACTTCAAAGGCGGATCTGTCACCATCCGTTTTTTTTTCTTGTCTCTTTCAACTTCTCTCTCTGTCTTTTTCAAATACGATACAGCATTGAAATGTTTGTTAAAGATATTAAACGCAGTTTGACATTTGTCGAATTCATCATTTATGAAAGGAAATCTTAAGCTTCTTTAAAAATTTTGGAAATGGAAATTTTTTCTAAATTTCTTTGAAAAGTCCCAAGCAATATTAGGTGAAGCTTGATAAGTGTTAATATAATAATGAGTGGATCATTGATGTAAAATAAGTAGCACGATGAAGTGGGAGATGAAGTCGAAATTTATTTCCGTTTTATGAGGAAAATATAAATACATACAAAATAACCACTAATTCTAATCTTATTTGTAGTACATACTTTGTGAAAAGATCGGTATAGGAGCCTATGGCACTATTTACCGAGCAATCGAACGAGCAACCGGTAAGAATTGGGCTGCAAAAATGATAAAAATATCACCTGATATGAAGAAGGACGTGATAATGCATGAAGTCGAGATAATGAATGAACTCCATCACGAGAAACTGCTTAACCTTCATGAAGTATTTGATATGGACAAGGGAATGTGCTTGATTGAAGAATTGTTAGTACTTTTTCATCAAGTGGATAGGGAATTGATAAGGCTAAAAAAGTATCAGATTATGCCTTCATGTGAATTTTCATTTAGAAACTTTTCCACTTGATATATATCAAATGGATGTTAAATGCGAAAGTTGCTACTGTTTGTTTAAATAGAAATATGTTTGCATCAGCAAAATAGGGAAGTTTGTTGTAAATAAAATCTTCTTTCTAACAATTAGCACATGTATTACTAATAATAATCCCATAATCCCTATAATCCCTAATAATAATATTAATAATTCCATTTTAATGAAAGAAGATTTCTTCAATTTATCGATGAATCTAAAAAGATCAAAAGTTTGGGAATTATTCATATTTGTTTTTGAATTTAAGTTTTGCAAATTTTGGCAAAAATTTAAAACGAAAATTTTTTTTCCAGTATATCTGGTGGCGATCTTCATGATAAAATAATTAGGGATGAAGCGCTAATGTCAGAAGATGAAGCGCGTACTTTCATTCGGCAAATTCTCCAAGGCATACAGTATATGCATAACAAGGGTATTGTACACCTTGATTTAAAGGTCCGTTACTTTTACTTTATTGGAACACGTGTACTCCTTGCTTGTGAAGTACATGTTGTCTCATTGATATCATATCTACTGATACTTCTCACTTATCTAAAATATGAAATTCATCGAGTTCTATAATTAATTATTTGAAAGAGTATCCCATGCGACATAGATTTAGTTTATTTATAATGATATCAATTGATCATGCTACTATTATTGCCAATAAATCTCCCATTAACTTTTTCATCTATTACTTTACTTCTTATATATATATGGTGTATATGTTCAGGAACCGTTCATCAATAATAATATTTTTTACTGTAAATAATATTTATCAAAATACCTCATAATATATCACATTTTAGCTGGAGAACATAATGCTTACTTCAAATGAAAGCAACGATATCAAAATCATTGATTTCGGTTTGGCACAGAAACTGGACGCTAACGAAAGTCCGACATTATTATTCTGTACAGCGGAATTCTGCTCTCCGGAAGTGATTAATAAGGAATCGGTTGGCTTGAGTGCTGATATGTGGGCTGTTGGTGTGATTACTTATTCATTGTAAGTTTTGTTCGAGATTCTAATGGTTGAACATGCTTTCATAGCGTTCGAGAAGCGATTTTTGAATTTTACTTATTGTCAAGTTAATAAATCTAGGAAGATAAAATTTGTGGAGCAATTGAAATTTTTGAATTTTGCTAATTTAATTTAAATTTAATTTATATGAGGAGAATGATAACTTCCATTTTTATAATTCAATTTTGAAGTAGAGATTGCGATTTTGAATCCGAATATGAAAATTGTAGTGGTAAGACATGCTTTTTTATAGATTATCCGGTTTATCACCGTTTGCCGGAACAACAAATCAGGAAATAATGGCGAATGTATCATCTTGTGACTGGAATTTTAGAGATGTGGTTTGGGAGGAAGTTTCCAATCTTGCTAAAGATTTTATTGCTAAATTGGTCGTCAAAAATAAAAGTGAACGTATGACGGTGACCGAAGCACTTGCACATCCGTGGATCACAACGACAAAGTTGAAAGCGAAACGTGGAAAAATGCTTTTGGCCAAAAAGAAAGATTACATCGTTCGCAAAAATTTCAGCGATGTGCTAATACCAATTGGCAAACTTGCTAAAACTGGTGCTATTTTCCGGCGTCGCTCAATGGACGGCACTTTTGAAAGGAATATTAAGTTTGAAGTGAACTTTCTGCCACGACTGCTGAAGAACTTAGAAGATGTTATTGGGAATGTTGGTGATCAAAGTATTTCGTTAATGTGTGAGATCGAAGCGCTCCCACAACCAGTGATTCAATGGTTCAAAGATGACAAAGAAATTTGCATGAAAGCTGATAAATATGAGGCGAAATATGAGGGCTGTATTGTCAAACTGAATATAAAGAATGTTGTTAACACAGATTCTGGAGTCTATTCGATAATTGCTACAAATGCGCTGGGCTCTATAAGAAGTGAAGCCAAAGTGTCGGTAGAGAAAGTAAAGGAGGAAAAGAAGAAAAAAGTTAAGAAAATAGTCCCTGAGGATAAAAAGGAAGCTAAGGGGACAACAACTCCATTTGAGTTTAATCCTAAACTTGCTGATGTGAGCGCAAAAGTTAGCGATTCAATATTACTTTCAGTCGCAATTAATTCACATCCGGAATCAGAAGTTCAATGGTTCAGAAATGATGAAGCAGTTGATATCAATAATCCAAGATTTATCATCAAAAAAGACAACGGTCTTCATAGTCTGAAAATATTATCATGCGAAATTACGGATACTGCAAAATGGAAAGTTGTGGCGCGAAATGCCACTGATCAATGCGAAAGTGAATGTAATATCATTGTAGAGGTATCAAATGATTTCAAAGCGCCAGAATTCAAGAAACCGCTTGTAAACATTCAATGCGAAGAGACGTCAATGGTGACACTTGAAGTAGGTGTATTGGCAAAACCGTTACCTGAAATCATTTGGTATTTTGGAGACCATGAACTGCATGAAGGGGAACGCTATAAACTGCAGTATGATGAAGATAAGAATATACATTCGATCACAATCGTTAAAACTGTTACTGAAGACAGTGGAACGTACACATGTTGTGCGAAGAATCTTGCTGGTACTGCTGAAACGACATGTAGTCTTGTGGTCAACCAGTCGCTTTCTGATAAGCGTAGTAAAGAAGGTGATAAAGCACCAATATTCCAGATGCCATTAACAGACTGTAATTTGCTGGAAGGTGACAAATTAACTCTCGTCTGCGCCATTACTGGTTCGTTCTCTTCATGCGAGTATCACTTTCAATTAATTGGTTCCTCATTTAAATTTAAAAATCTTTTTGAATTATAAACATTATTTTTTTCCTTTCAGGTGTGCCAAATCCTTCAGTTAAATGGTTTAAAAATGACAAAATACTTAATGAAACTGATTGTACAACTAAAGTTAGTTCTCAATAATTGCTAAAAATTTTCATACACTTTAAGTTTATAAATGACTGTCAAATCTGATAATAAAATATTATTTAATTCTTTATTGAGTTTTAGTCGTTTCTTATTCTCATAAAATTGGGTTCAAACTTCTCTAAGTTCTTATTGTTTTTATCATGCAATCAAACTTTACAGTATGAAAACGGTACGTGCACATTGACGATTGCTTCGGTGAAACCATGTGATGCTGGAGTTTACAAATGCACTGCTGAAAATATCAGTGGTACATCAAGATCGGAGTGCAAAGTGCATATTCAACGTAAATTTTAATTTCTCTCTTGTATGAAAAGAAAAAAAAAGTGCCATATATTACGGGAATTATTGTTCTCTTCGGTATTCTACGCAATTTCTTCCGCGATACTTCCATGAAAGTGAAATCGGTTTAAAACTTTTCGTATTTTATTCAGCTTCCTCGAATCTCTATTACTTCTATTTCAGAGGCGGAAACAATGAAAATAAAGCCATACTTTGAAAAATCATTAACCAATATTTCAATAAATTCCGGTTCTGAAGTTGTTCTAGAATGTAAAGTGATTGGAAAACCTAAGCCAAAAATAACATGGTACAAAGATGGTATGAAATTGCTGCTTGACAATCGAATGTCGCAGCACTTGGAAAATGATGGTATCATTTTTATGTTCGACCGAAAAGAGAATCATTATCCTTTTGTATGGAAGGAATAAGCAATTTCAAAAATAATGTTGTTTTCAGGTAGCATACGGCTTAATATTATTAATATTAGCGCTAATGACAGTGGCGTATATTCATGTGAAGCAGTAAATGCATTTGGAAAAGATTTGAGCAAATGTACGGTAGAAATCATCGGTATATTTTTCAATCGTTTTAAATTCTTGAAATTTTATATACTCTACAGCAAAAGTAGTTCGTATTTTTCTATTACAGTCAGAATTAATGAATTTGTATTGTTTCCATATCGAAAATTTCACCTAACTTTTCAATTTCATATCAAAATTCATAGATACCGATGTAAGTACAAAGAAACCAACACGAAAAGAAGAAAAAGGAAGATCACTAGCTGCTGTGAACGAAAACTTGAAAGCACCAGTAATTATCAGACCACTTGAAGATGTTACCATTTATGAAGGTATCTTATTTATGTGGCTAATCTGAGCTTTTTTTAATTTAGCTTTAACATAAAATTAGTTGCTTGCTACTATTAAAATTATAAGTTTTTATTTATAAAAATTTGATTGTAATCCTGAGGATAACAAAGTTTTAAATTTTACGCAACCAATACTTACCCTGTTATAGGCAATCATAAGATATTAGAAGTTGAGGTTGAAGCTTATCCTCAACCTATGATCGAATGGTTCTTGAATTCTAAGATTCTTAAAGAAAGTCGTGACATGCAAACTTATTTCGATGGAAGCCTTGCGATTCTTAAGATTAATGACGCCCATATAGAACAACAAGGAGAGTATCTTTGTCGGGCAAGCAACAAAGGCGGAAGTGCTGAAACAAGGTGTAATGTGATCGTTAAAGGTAAATTTCTCAGAAGTCCCTTTTACTTAAATATGAGTTGCGAATTTTATTTTGAAATGAATTTTTAAAATCTCGAAAATTTGCCTTTCTTATTCGTGTTTTTTTACTAATTTGATACTTTTTTAGAAGATTTAGCAAAGGACGAAATGTCGAAAATGCCGGAATTCATTGAAAAAATGCAGAATGTAAGAGTAAAAAATGAAGGAGATGCGTTAACATTAAAATGCAAGGTATTATTTTGGTGAAATATTTCTGATAATTATTAGAACCGTTAATTAATGAAATTATTCCTTAATATCAGAGAAAATTCAATGTACGAAGTTAAATTTGAAAAATGTAATAACAGCAAGATATTGGTATTTTATTCCCATCCTTTCTAACTTTTTAAATTTAATAAAATTCTTGTATTTTGCAAAAAAAGCTTGGTTCATGTGAATTTTTAGTTGTGTACGATAATAATATTATTGCTGCAGGTTACTGGCAAACCGAAACCCGAAATTCGGTGGTTACTGAATGGGAAAGCTATTGCGGAAGATGATAAAATTCGCATTCGTACATTTGACGATGGCATATGTGTAATGGAAATTACTCGTTTGAAAGCAGAACTTTGTGGTACTTATACTGCAATTGCACATAACATCTACGGTAATGCTCATGCTAATGCTGAAATATCGCTTGACGCTGTTGGTGAGCTTAATGAGAATTCTTTAACCATTTATGCTAATTTTTTCTTCTACTCTCTTTTGATCGCTTTTAAATCGGTCCCAAATTTTATACTTTTTCTTTTAAATCTATCCTGAATAATTTGAAGATTCAATCTTTTTTGTGAAAAAGTGCAACTGTTGAAAGCATTGCAAATGTTTGAAATTTTACTGATATTAAAACTTATATCCTTTTTAAACATAGTATTGTTGAAGATTTATCTATGAAAATGAAGGGAAGAGAACCGTTTTTTTTGGTGGAACCGATACGAAATTTGGTTATTGAGGAAAGCACTACCTTACATATTGTTTGTGATATTGATGGTGAACCTGAACCGAAAGGTTGAATTATAACATTTTCATTTATAGTAACAAAATCTTGTAGATCAAAATTGAAATTCTCCAAATCGTTTAGCAGAATTCAAGTGGAATTTACACGCTATTATAAGGAAGATGCTTTGTTATCCATTTTCTTTCCTCTTTGTTTTTAACTAGTTTTTTTTACAGTGACTTGGTTCAAGGATCATTCTTTGATCAAGGACGATCGTTTTGCAATTCAGAAGGAAGGTACCAACCATCAGATTACTATCGCTTCCGTATTACTCAGCGATGAAGGTGTTTACACGGTAGAAGCGGAAAATAGTAGTGGAAAAATCTTCGCTGATATCGTAGTGCATGTTATTCCCAAATCGTAAGTCGGAACCGAAATGATTGATTAATTTGTTCATTTGTATCATAAATGAAACAAGTTTATTGTAATCATGTTTAAACATTTTCTGTATTTTAATTAAAACTGAATCACTCATACAAAAAGTATTGTGAAGGAATAACTTCTTGCAGAGAATCGGAAGCCTGCAAGGAAAAAGTTGATCTATCTAAGCCTAGCATTTCAATTGGTCAACCATATGCTACACAAATTACCAAGAATACTCTACAGCTAAAATGGACAGCACCCGAAGATGGTGATTCGAAAATTGAATATGTTGTTGAACAGCGAAGGTAGCTTTAAACTAAAGAGAGATATAATTTATTTCTTATTCTTCACTACATAGAAGTTTTTTCCAGGCCTGATGACCAAACATGGACGCAAGTGGGTGCAACTGTGGGAACAGAACTTCTGATTACCGGTTTACAACCCAGTACCGAATATAAATTCCGTGTTTCTGTCAAAAATAAGGTGAGTTAATTTCATTCGAAAATTTATTAGTAATTATAAAGTACTTTTTTCAATGTCCTTTTTTTTGTAGGTTGGCCAAACAGCATATTCGCCACCATCAACAGCTATCATGACACTTCCATCAGGCCAGAAACCAGTTTTAAAAAATATTCCACCTGCAACATTGATATTTAATGAAAAGGAAGATATTGAGCTTAGTGTAGAATTCGAAGGAGAACCAACACCATTTGTGAAGTGGTATCACGATGGTATCGAATTAATCGATGGCAAAAACAGTGTGAGAGTAACTACTGTAACTGACAAATCGAGTAAATTAATTATCAAGAAGCCCAAAGCAAGTGTTCATGTTGGACTGTATTCTTGTCACATCGGAAACGAAGCTGGTGAGACAGTCTGCGAAACACATGTCATCAAACAGGATGTATGTTTCATGAAAAAATTTGAAATTATTCACTTTTCATTAGAGCAGTTGAAAAAATGAATCAGTGATGAAGGCATTTCATTCCTACGAAAAGCTTAGTGATAATTTTTTTTAAGAATTTTAAGTTTTGGAATTCACTTTTGTATTCATTTCACTTTTTTAAGGTTTAATTATTCTATTCAAATTTAAAATTGCGCAAAATCCAATATGGCAAGAAGTAATTTCAATTTAGGATGGAATAACAGTCAAAGAAATGCAAGATGACAAGAGGAATGAGCTTCTCGAAGGGCAACCACAAATTGTGGTACCACTTTCGAATGAAACTACTGCGGCAGGCCAACAGTTTATTCTTAGCTGCAAAATAATGGCATCGCCAAAAGGTGTCGTGTCATGGTTTAGAAATGATGAAAGACTGGCGTTAGTTTTTTTGACCAATAATTTCCAAATTTTTAAATCATTTCCGTATCAGACATTCTAATATGGTTGATGTGGAGTAATAAGGTCTAAGGTGCATGTTTTATTTCAAATTTTCGAGAATTTTGTAAAATTTCGGTCTCCTATTATCTACAATAACATATTGGATAACTATCAATTGCAAATTCAAAAGAAAAGAATGAACCATATAAATTAAATGCTTTGCACTTAGCATTGGATATTTTTATGACATATGAATAAATATTTCATAATGAGAATTTTCCAACTTCTGTTGGAAGAGTCAGATCTTTTTGAAATTTTAATTGAAATACTTTTATATGAATAATCTACTTGCAGTCCTATTGGACGTTTTGAAATGCTTGAGCAGGATAACATTTACAAATTAATATGTCACAATGCTCAAGGCAACGATAGTGCGACATATCGATGTATTGCAAAGAATCCCATCGGAATCGCACAATCATCATGTGAGGTATGTATAGAGATATTCTTTCATATCAGCATATATCTAACTTTATTATTTTCAAATTTTTTGAATTTAGCAAAGGAGAAATTATTAACCTTTGAATATGTACACTGTTTGTGAACTTTACAAGAATATTGATTTCAGGTAACTGTTTTAACATCAACTCAAAACATGGCACCCAAATTCGAAGTAGCACTGAAGGACAAAACAGCTCTAGCTAATAAGGAAGTAAAACTAAAATGCCGTATTCTTGGCGACCCTCGACCTCAGGTAGAATTTCCTTTCCAATAGGATATTTTGAGAGAGATTTTTATTTTTTATCAGATCCATTTTTTCACTTTATCTCTTTGAATCAGATGCTTCGTTTAGTGTGAATAAGCATTTTGTGCATTTTGTTAATCAATACATTGAGATATGAAATATATAAGCATAAGCCTTAATCTTTGTGTCCTTTGTTTGTGCTTCCCATTAATTTGAGTAGTTCACTTTAAATTCAGGTTTTGCAAGTTTCTTGAAGTATTTTGTTCTTATTTTATATAAGAATGGGATGCATTTGCAGGTTACATGGATGAAAGATGGCGCTATGATCAGTACAACTCGCCGCCAAAAGCTTGAATTCACTGAGGATGGCTGGTGCTCGCTTACAATTTTCAACTGTACCGCAGAAGATACTGGTTTCTACCTGTGCACAGCATGCAATGTACTTGGCAGTGCGAGTTCCCATCTGATGCTGACTGTCGCAGAAATCGCTGGCCCGGATTCACATTTGGTTACAGCCCAAAATAAAGAAATGCAGTACTGTAAACCAAGATTTACCCGTGTACCGGGTGCAGTGGTCGAAACTACCGAAGGATCTACGGTTTGTCATCCTGAAAAATGGTCTGAAAGAAATTTAAATTTGTAAAACCATTTCAAGATCCAATAATTTTGTCTTTGCCTATTTTCTTCGAAGCTAACGATTTAATTTCAGGTAAAATTAATAAGTCGCGCTGTTGGTCTACCTAAACCGCTCGTAAGATGGTTCAAAGACGAAAAAGAGGTATGTAAACTTGGCATTTTCTTTACTAAAGGCTTTTGCCATTCTTGATATAGCAGATTTTTACTAATAGCTGATTAGTGTTAAAATTATCAGTTAAATGAGACGAAATATCCACTATTAGAAGATAATTTAGACTCTATCCTTTAACCACCGATCCGTAGATGATATGATAATTTATTGAAAATAGCAATGGACTTGTATAATAATTCATTTTTACTTCCTGAATTAGAACTTAAAGAAATATTAATAGGTTCAGTAATCTTGATGATAAATTAACAGCAAGGGTGAAACTTTTGATAAATATAGCAATAAAAAATTAATTGTGTCAGTCATCAAAAACTGGGATTGTAAATTTAGTTTTATTGAGACAGCTTTACTTAGCTACAAGTAAGTGGATCTGTAACATGGGAAAAGTTAATTGATTAATATTAGCAGCAATCGTAGTTTTAAATTGATGATACTTTTTTTGTCATTAAGTTAATTATTATAGATTACAAAAGTGAACCGTGCATATGAAATATTATTAACCGGAGAAGGTGAATCGGTACTTCTCGTACCGTATGCAGTTACGAAAACAGCTGGTATATTTAAATGTGTTGCTGAAAATTCAGAAGGCTCGACAAGTTTCGAAATGCAACTTGTTGTACATAGTAAGTATACTGTTCTTCCTTTGTTCTTTATCATACGTTTAATTTATCGACCGAAGAATCTTTCACTGGATGCAAGTTTTTCAAAAATTTGAAACAAATTCTTTGTTAATTTCAATTATTTATAAGGATTTTAGATTTAATTTTATGTAAAAATTTTAGCTCTTCTGCATAAACAAAATGAAGAGAAACAGGCACCGAGATTCACGATGGATTTGACAGATATCGGTGTTGCAATTGGATATCCTGTAACATTGAAATGTCTTGTCACGGGTACTCCTGAACCTCAACTTAAGGTACCAAATTTTGTTGTGGGATAAATCAAAGTTGGTTTTTAAGAAATTGCCCTGCATTTCGTTTTTGGTCTCATTTCACTTCTAAACAATTTAACTTAACACAACGGGAACGATTATCCATTACGAATTAACATAACTTGGATCGAAATTGATCTATTCTCTTTCATTTCTAAACATTTTTGTTTATGAAATTTAGCGTTCTAAAGGAAATCAAAAATCAGTTAATGTTTTATGATGGCTTGTTTTCTGAACTACCAAAAATTTACAAGAAAAAAAAAGTAAGCTACATTTTAAAGAAGCAAGAATAAGCACACAAATAGTTATGTATAACTATACATAACCCAAATATAAGCCATGTGAAGCTTGTTATACTATTCGTTATTTTAATGCAGTGAAAAAAAAAAAAAAAAAAAGCCACCAGTCTTAACAGTCATCTTAACAACGATCATTTGCAATTCAGATTATGAAATTTCAGTGGATCTTCATTAACGATGCGCAGCAAACAAGTGTGTTACGTACAACAACTGATTCTGCTTGGGCAGAATATCGTCAAGGTGATAGTTGTGAAATGAAGACTGAAAGTGTGGTAAAAACCCAACAAGGTACCTATCAGTGTATTGCTAGTAATGAACATGGGCGAGCAATAACTCAATGCTACTTGTTAGTCGGAGGTATCAACTTTCCAGTATTTCTTTTATCTTGTTAAAAATGTTTTTTCCTAGTTCAGAAATTAGTAGAATATACTCTTTATATAGCATCATGAATCGAGAAAATGCTTAAAGGAGCCTATAATAATTTTATTTCAAATAGAAACAGAATAATTAGCAACTTTTTGTGTTGAAATTAATAATTTCATGCTAAAATTGCATTTTGAAAGATAAAATTTTTTCGTTTTTAGTTCCGATATATCATGTATTACTTGTGATTGTGATGAAAAACTTGAGTGTCTAATAATAGAATTTAATCTAGAATAGACAATAAAAAGAAGGAAATGGCAATCTGATAAAATTTGAAATGAAATTAAAAGTTGACAACACGGGAAATTTTGACAATGGTAGTTCATAAACGTTTGCAGTAAAATTCCTGACATTTGTAGTTGAATTTACTTTCTCTCGGTTCATGTT